CTTCTACAAGATATCGGCTCGGGTCTCACACTTTGGTTTTCTATCGATATCGTCCGTCCTGTCATATGTAGCGGACGGCGTGTTCAGAATAGCTCGGATTCAATTGTCACGCGTACATAGAACTTCAAGCCGAAGTTATTTTTTTGCCAGGAGTTTTAGTGCAATAACTTGTTGCATAGTTTTGTCATTGTTATCATAAAATCTCTCTGGACCCCCCCCCCCCCCTAAGGCAGCATGGGAGTTACATGTCTTCAATCTATTCCCTTATTGCTTAATTTCCTTGCACTACTAAAGTCTTTCTGCGGCTGGTTGAGACCTCCTTGGTATTTCTTCCTGTAGCGGGGAGGGTGGGCGCGTTTCAGCTGAGGATTGTTTTTGGGACTCCCCTACGATGCGGGAAGTCTTCGACAGCAGGTGTAAGAATGATATGGTCGATAAATCTGGAGACTGCTCAAGGTGCAGCAGTCTTTTTACCATGTATGTAATTACCGCTCCGACATTGTCTTGGTTGCCATTTTCTGCCTTTTATTGATTAGTGGTTTGAAGAAATCTAATCCCGCATGCTCAAAGGATGTGATCTCACCACTCGTTCCTTTGAATTCCTTCTGTGGATATTTTAAGGTAGATTATTGATTTCTAGCGTTTTAAACATTTACTGACCAGCCTTTGAACTTTGATCGGACTTTGACGTGGGAATCCGGAATTGTTGTCTGACTAGACTTATTCGTGTGATTAATGCCAGTGTGACCCTGTTCATGAACTTCACGGGCAAAGATTCGGCTAACATGGTTTTCTATAATATTAGAGATGGGGTACTTCCGTCCGTAGCAGCTAAATATTCTTTCCTCATCCTTTTGAATATTGAGGCTTTTCAGCGCCTTTCTGATGTCGTTGGTGACTTTGAGTGCTTGATGGTTTTTTATTATGACTTTTGCTGCGGACTCTGTGACTCTATCTCACTCCCTCAGGCAGTCTATACGTATTTCGGAGGGTATAGGTTGTATTCCGATAGTGATTTTGTATCCCCCTATGATTTTTGTTACTGTTGATCGAATAAAACGAAGAGCATATGCAACAACCCGTTTTGCGTGGGTAACTCTGTGAACTCTTCCTTGTGATAGGAGTTCAGGATCGTGAACTGTTACCTCAGCCGCTATGATTGTATCCGTTTTCGTTCCCGCTTTCTTTTCTTGATCTTTGGCAACATACCCAAGTAGCGTGTTCCGTAAGGGCCAATGGTTTACTTCGTGTTGGAGACACATTTGTCCTATTCACCAGTGAAGATGACTGACTATCTGCCGTGAACACGTGTCCGAATTGCATAGAACAGTGTTTTTTGGCTGAGTGGTCCACGATCTCTCTTATCTCCATCAATCTGTAGTGAATGAAAATTCCCAACTCTCGTTTGGGAGAGCTTTTCAAGTAGCACAAAGCATTTCGGAATCCGATAGGATATAACTTTCTCTTATATGTAGCACACCCTTTAGTTGGGTTATGATAGCATTCGCGAGACGTGCTGCCAGTGTGATTGCGTTCATTTCGAGCTTTGGTATTCTTGTGTTTCCATGAATTGAGGGTAGTTTTGATTTTGCCATTAGGAGCTGGACCGTTTTGAGTGCCTCGTATGGGCGCATGCAGTTATTCCTGTGGTGCTAGCATCTGCGAAAATCACAAGCATCACTGTGCTCATTTTTGGCGTCAGATCTCTTGGAATAGGTTTGTGAAATCATATCGTTGCTGATTTTGTTCCATTCTTCATTTTCCTTTACTGGATAGAGGCGTATTCCACTTCCATTGATTCCTTCGAGAGGTTTTGTAGGAAGACATTCGCTCTATGGAGAAGCGGGATGTAAAAGCCCATAGGGTCATATACAGTGGCTATCGCACTTGTTATAGTCCGCTTAGTGATTGTCGTTGAAGACTCCTTTATTGAGCACTGAGCCTGCAGCGTATCGGACTTGGAGTTCCACTCGATTTCAAGTACTTTCTGAGTGTGACTACTTGCTAATCAACACCCGGTATCGATTCCTTGAGTGTCAAATTCTTGGACGTGAGCTCACGCAAGTTCATTTTCAACTCCTGGAATATTGCTTTTGAGCTATTGTAGAATTGTAGCGCTTCTTTATACGTCACTTGTTAGGAGAACGTCGTCCACGTAGAGGTTGTCTTTGATCTTTTGGGGCATATCTTCTTTTTTGTGCCTGTCCAGATGATAATGGGTTGTTCCTGCCAGAGGAAAGGGGGAGGATGTCATTCCAAAATGACCCGCGTAAAGCGAAGTGTCTGGAAATTGTCCATTGATGGAGGCTGCTTATGATTTTTGCCAAGGTATTGCGTTCCTATCTACCTCATGTGGGTGAACTTGTGAGAATGCCTTTTCGCGTCCGAAAATGGTGCTATCTTGCCGATCCGAAAGCGCAACAGTAGGCCATATATTGGTGGCAGCATTACTGGTCCCCTGTGCAAAACGTCATTAAAGGAGGGACTACCTTTGAAGTGAGCTGATGCGTCACATACTATACGGAGCTTTGTTGTACTTTTTGGGGAATAACTGAGGGATGTAGTGTACTTGGGTACCTTCGTTGCAGCTGTTCTCATCTACTATTTCTACAACATTCTTGCTGAGCTAATCTTGAAAGATGCCACTGTATTGGTCCAGCGCTTGTTCATCTTTCTTCAATGAGCTTCAAACACTTGCTGTGGATGTTATTCCTTCCATGGTGGGCGCACGTAATATCCATCTTTTCAACGTTCGACAGACCTGTTGAATTGCTCCCAAACTCGTTTGTCTAACGCGGATTGTGCTCTCTTTCCAGTTTCAAGGAATTCTTCTGCCGCAGCAGAATCCATTGTCCAGCATTTTCATATTGGTCTCGTTCTTCTTGAGAGACTACTGACTCAGTATCTCTAACCATGTAGACTTGAGCAGAAATCATTGACCAGTGATGGCCCTAGAGTTTCAGTTCATTGTATTATCTTGTGAAACTAGTAGAACTGTATCTCCCATTTTAGTTTTGCCATAGATCAAGTGGCCCATCTTCGTAGGTAGAACGTGTAGTCCGGACGGGAGTGTAAGTGGAGGTATATCACTCTTTACAAAGAACTATAACAAGTCGCATCCCAAGGGGATGGATGGCTGGATGATCCTCTTTTTTTCGCTTGATTGGAAACCAAGATTACATAGGAATTCTTGATCTTGAGTTGATAAGGACGGTGATCTCATTGGATGAGTGAGAATATTGTGTGTGAGTAACTCGAGAGAATGCGGGTTTCCATATTCGTCCCACATCTCCATTCGTACTCTTTGACATCTTCGCTCGATTACTCTTTGTGCCGAACGTGTTCAACCTAATGTTCTTTTCTTTAAGCAGAGAGAGACGTAGGTTCCTGGCCAGGTTACTGTCAATGAGTGATACCTCGGCTCCGGTGTCGAAAAAACATCCACTTTGACCAGAGCCTCGCTGTTGGAATTCAGAACTGTATCTACCCCTGTGGGAAAATAAGGATGTTGGGAGCTTTGCGTGTTCAACATCCTTGGTGGTGAAAGTATTGGCGTTCCTGTGGTGGACTATTTTCTATTGCTGAGTAAATGTAGCGTCGAATCTGATCTTGTAAGCCCCTGTTGAAATTCATCTTCGTGTTGTCATTCTTCTTCTTAAAACCTCCGTTTGAGATCTCGGTCTTGTTTGCCAACGAGCTCTTGTTGTTCGAAGGGGTTGATACATGATGTTTCCGAGAATGGTTCCGCCCTGAAGCAACACGAGGTATGATGTGGGTCACTGCAATTGAAACAAAGGCGACCCTTGCACTGATGTGTTGCATGATTAGCTGATGCACAAATGAGGCAAAGTCTATTCTGTCGTAAGTAAGATGACCTGTCTTGAAGTGTAGGGTACTTCGTGCAGCTCACGCATCTCTGCACATCTCTGCACATAGTGCGCATCTCTGCAGTACATGCATCTAGGCCCTATTTTTGCGTGCGTGATTCTTAATTTTCCATCCTTTTGGTACAATGGTTCCTTGTCGGCGAATGCTAAGAGGACTTCTTCTGTGGACAGGGTTTAAATTGAAGAGGTGTTCCATCGTAAATCTTTTTTTTTTGTCAGTCCGTGTTTCTTACTGTTAACCTTCCCTTTAGTGGAGTAGGCAACTTTAGCTAGTATCTTCTTGTTAATCCATGAGATGTATGTTTTCTCCCTTGTCCTCTAGCTGAACGGTAATGGCTTGAAGCTGCTCTGAAAGGGAGCGCTCGTCCTTCATTGATGAAGATTTCAGAGTGCAAGACTCTAGTCGCTCGACCAGATGGTTTACCAGTTGTCCTTGTTATTATATGTTTTATAAAAGACATGATACAGCTTAGAATAGTTCTCGCTAGTGACTCTAAACTTGACAACGGTTTCACGTACCTATCCTTTCGATGCGTTCAACAAATGATTGTACTTAATCGTCTCAGGAAGGTCCTTCGAACTAATGTTGCTATCGAAAATCCCCCAGAAGTTATCTCACTCCTGTCCTCATCGAAGGTTGGGATGGGAAGCGGTGGTAACTCTATAGCTTTAGGGTGTACGGGACTCTCTGGTACTGCTATTGCTTTCGGAGAAGCTTGCGCCGTTTTCATGGGTATTGACAGATCAACTTGTGTTGTGTTTGACGAGCACCGTGTTGGTGGCCTTGTAAGGGAACTACGAAATCGAATGCCTTTGATATTGTGGTTTCTGTTCTTTTTATATACTGTTCGAGATCTTCTTGTTCATAATACCGGTGTTTTCTTGGTTGTCAACCTCTGCTGTCAAGTCGAATAGTGCTTTCTCACCTTCGTCATTATGGCCTCTGTTAAGTTGACTGCTTCTTGCGCCCTACTATTCTTTTCAGTTCTTTCTTCTTGTGAAATATCGAATGCTACTAGGAGTTCTTCGACTTTTCCTGCCTTGATCCCTCTTATTGATTCTTCTAACTTGTTTGTCAACAATGTTAACAAGCGCTTACGTGTCGCGATCTCATTAGCCATGATGCTCCTTGCGCAAGTCCACGCACTGCAGTTCCGCAAAAATGACTGGTAGTTCCTGCTGAAAGAGAAAGCGAAGCTGATAGTTAAAGTCAAACAGGAGTGGTGGGTTTAGTTGACCACACCAGGAGACAGGGCGGAATACATGTTTATTGCACATTCAGCCTTATTTAGTCTTATATCACATCTATCACTATCCTCTTCATTCTTCTTAATTCTTGTGTCTTCTTCCACGTCCACACATTCCAGGGTGGTCATCCATCTAAATCGGTGAACCACGCCTCCCCTTAACATTCCCCCTTAGTGACCCTGGCCACTCTACTGCTCAACCTGCCTCTCAAGTAACCCCCACATCAATTACAAAATCTATTTCTATTTCCAAACTCTTTATTTCTGCATACATCCCAGAGAAGATTTTTCCAAATTCTAATGCCCCGCTTCGGAGGCTTCTTCGCTAGGCCTCGCCTCGCCTCGGTCTTCGGCCACACCGCACCATCCTTCGGGAGGGCGTCCCGGAGCTAGAAGGCGAAGGCGCTTCATATCTCGGGGAAGGGCATAAGGCCTCGCCTCGGCCATCTCCGATTTCGGCCAGGCCGGGCGTACGCCCACGAACGGGGTGTACGCCGACCCATAGTGCGCCCGGCCTGAAGTAATCTTTTCTATTACACCCATTACTCTGCCTAGAACCACACTTACTGGCGCCATCACCACCACTGTGGTCGGGTACCCTGCCATCGCAGGGGGGGGGGTACTCCATGTCGTCATCACCGGGTTTCCGGTGGGCGGAAGACCCAGAAACTCTATAGCAGGTGCACTCGGACACTCACTTCCCACCGGGTTGACCCCCGGTATCACTGCTGCCGCCGTCGACGTCGTTGTTTGCGGGCTCCACGGTGCCAGTTGAATCCACGGTCTTGGTGTGTTCATGGTCGCTCTTCTACGGCTCGTCCAAGGCAAAATGGGTCTGCCCTCCCCTAGCAGAGTCTTTCATACCTATCCCTTTATTCGCTCCGGCAAGAGATACCTCTTATCCCATTTATCTGTATCATTGAGTTCTGTTAGTCTCGCCCTCTTCATGGCAAGATACTCTTTCGCTTTTTTCCGTTGTCTTGTGTTTGCGGATAGACCTCCTAGGTATTTCCGCTTGTACTTCGGGTTCGTCCTTCCCCAGGGTGTCGCTCCAGTTCTCCTTCTCTACTCGGCCGTCTATTCCCCAACTTTTGGGGATTCTCCTCCCAGAACGACACCCTTTTCTTCAACTTGGTCAGCATGTGCCATACGACTTCCGTACCATGATGCACCCTATACGCATTCGACGACCACCTCTAGACTATTCCTGGTACCCATTTCTCCAAATTATTCCCACAGTCCCCGCAAGTTACTGCTGCTCCTACCTCGAATTTCCTCTCACTTACTTTTTTATCGTACTGCTCCTCCATCCGTCGCATTTGTGCCGTCACTTCCGGGTTCCTCGGCGCCTTGAAAACATCTAAAGTCGTTCTTAGGCCCGACCCATGAGCATTTCCGCAGGTGACATTCCCGTCGCGAGATGCTCCGTTACTCTATACTCAACACTGCTGCGCACTCATAGGCTGCGTTCGCAACCACGTGTCTGCTGTCCTGATCCTGTTCTTCGTCCCTGGTCTATTGACACCGGTCTGCGACTCTCGTCTCCCTACTCTCGTTCCCGGTATATATTTTGTATCCTTCTGCACCACTGCGGCTACCCCTATTTCTGTTATCCCCTGCTTTATATGTGGTGCGTTCTTACTTACTCTCTCGAGCGCCTCGGCTGCTTCTAACGTCTCTTTTGATGTCAACTCCTCTCTCTCCAGGAGCCGCTTCCTAGTTTCAACTGTAGCTAACCCACCTATGAACACCATTGCTACCATCGTATCCCGATATCTTTCACCTTTTCGAACCCACATGTACCTGCAGCCTTCTGCAACTCCGCATAGTATTCTTGCAAAGTTTGACCGGCCTTCTGTAACTTTGACATAAGTGCGAAACGTTCCGCGATTATTAACTTCTTGGGTAGGAACTGTTGCTCCATGGCTTGCCGCAGCTCCATCAGTGAGGCCATTTCTGGTTCCTTACCCTGCAACAAGGACTCTAAGAGCTCATAATTTAAGGCTCCGACCTCTTGGAGAAAGATGAGGCGCTTATCGCCTTCATCAGTCACTCACCGTAAGGCCAGAAATTTCTGAAACAAGCTCCACCAGGTATTCCAAGAAGTTCCAGGCACATACGTTCCTGGACGACGGCCTCAATACACATCGTAGGCCGTGGCTGGATCCTGCCCAGCCGGCGAGACTTCTCGCACTCCCACGCCCTGGTGGAAGTACCTACAATACCGCCCTTCTTCTCTTCCATGCCGACCTTCGAATCCTTGTCGTTGTTTTTTTCTGCTGTTGTTGTCGTTGCTGCCGCCTTCTTATCGTCGTTGCTCCGACTTCTGGTGTGGCTGCTCCAGCTTCTTGTCGTCCTTGCTACGACTTCTTCTCACTGCACTCTTCTTGAGCTTCGTCGCTGGATCGCCAGCTGACGACACCAGGAGAGAGGGCGGAATGAATGTCTATTGCACATTCAGCCTTATATAGTCTTATATCACATCTATCACTATCCTCTTCATTCTTCTTCATTCTTCTGTCTTCTTCCACGTACACACCATTCAGGGTGGTCAGCCACCTAAATCAGTGAACCACGCCTCCCCAACAGGTTTGTTTCCGGGATTGAGTCAGGTACCGCACTGTGAATCTGAAATACCGAAGAGACAAATGTTGGACTAAGCTGAGCTCGTAGTTTGCCGATGCACCAATTTTGTAGTGCCTTGTTGCCATGCGGTATGTGTGTAGATTGCCTGTAATTGTGTACTGACGATGTGGATCAAGAACAGCTTTGTTGTCGAACGCCTTGAACCGGATCAATCCCGTAGAACGGAGTCCCAGTATTGGTGGACGAAGCTGGACTGCTTGATTGCGAAGGCTTCCGAATGAATGAACGAACCATACCCTTGCTATGCCTTCCTATACCCTATTCTATCTTATCACCTCAAAGATACTTATCAATCGCTGCATTAGTGAACAAGATCATTTTGCCTATAGCAAACAAGTTAGCACTTGCAATGAAAGCTTAAAGAAATGAACTAATCGTAGCTGTTGCTACAATCCTTGTTTTCATGTCTGAGGGTACGATGCTTGGAGTAGGCGACGAGATTGGCCAACGCTCCTATATGGTCGTCCAAACGAATCTTCACCACCTTTCAGTCTCCCCCACGTATTTTTCTCCGCAACCTCTACATCAGATTAGATACACAGTGTCTTGAAGTTCGCAGATCTTCTCGAATAAACAGTACCGACAAGATTGTTAGTGACACTGATCTTCATAGATCCGAGAGGGAGTGGGGAAATCTCTGAGTGTAAGGAAAGGCAGAAGACGAGTCAAATGGGAAGCCTAGAACTCTTTACAGCGCGATTCACTTAACGTGCCATTTTGTCGTTAACAAACGGCAATGTGAAAGTCACCCTATCTGGTGAGAAGCCATGTTTTGAAATTTCCTCCGAAATATTCGTTGCTTTCAAAGATATTCTTGATCTTTGCATCGATGGATTGTGTCATGACCCTCGGCACACAAGCACCGTTGGTGCCGGCCTTTTGCAATCGTAAACCGACTCATGCCGTCCGCCTAGGAAGCGGAAGACGATTGGACCGCGTACCTGCACCGGTACATATACCGCCGCTTTTGGGCAGTATATATGCCTCTGCCTGATAGGAGCAAGGCTCAGATCGACACTTCGTTTTCCGCAAGTGGCAGTTCTCTCTTGCAGCTCTTCCTCTTTTTTGACATATCACTAAGGTTTTGATGGTTATGAAGTGATAGGAATGCAGTAAACAATTATGACTTCCAATCTTTATCTACCAAGATACTACAAGCCGGTAGACCCGCAGCGGGCGCCCAGTCGCCCACTGCGGGTCTACCGGCTTGTAGTATCTTGAGTAGATAAAGATTGGAAGTCATAATTGTTTACTGCATTCCTATCACTTCATAACCATCAAAACCTCATTGGACCATCATGCAGTTCAAACAGTTTGGTCCCTTCGCGTCCCAAGCTTCTCTTTCGTTCTGACAAGAATTCATGCGGCATTCGCCTTCATATAAATCGGATAAGCACACCTGGAATGCAGCAAGATGTTAGAAGAGGCTTCTCATATCAAAAGTTTCCTTGTAGCCTGAGACAAAAATCATGGAAGCGCGGAAATTCGTCGTATTAAGCCCGAAATAAACGCAAGGGAGGAGCTAGGTGACCTCCTAAGACTACTGCGTGATAAATGTGGCAACAGAGGACCCTTGTGACTTAGCACTGCTCGGCAGTCTCCTCCTCATTTATACCGCCGCATCGGCAGGCTCACCCCTCCCCACCCTTGGTACTCCTTAATGCTGATGTTGATGTAAGTGTTGTAGCTGTTGGCCACTATGTATTCTGTTTTGAAGGTCTGATGACGGCGTTATCGCCGAAGGCTTACCAGTGAAGATTCGATGCAAGAGTTTCGAAATAATCTATACTGCAATTATCGATGAAGCTCAGAGATAGCAGTACAATGTTTATTTAGATCGTTGCATGAGTTCTTATACAGCGACTTTTTTGTAAATATCTCAAAAACGAACCAGCCTGGAGATTAGAGGTATGCACCATTCACCATTCACTACTCGACGCCAGCGCGCAGACAGCTTGTCGATTCCATCCTTCCAGAACGACGGAGGCTGGGACTTGAAGAAGTCGTTGGGCGCCTTTCTGACCTGATCCTTTGTTTCGAACTTTTTTTCGTCCAGATAGCGCTGCAGATGGCTGAACAGCCAGTAATCAGAAGGAGCGATGTCAGGGATGTAGGGAGGGTGGGCGACCATCAGCCATCCGCACTTCTCCAGCTCGGCCTGGGTCGCCTTTGCAGTGTGAGGTCGGACGTTGTCATGGTGGAAGTAGATTTCCGCATTCCTTTCATGTGTACGGTCGACGTGATCTTTCAATTTCCGCAGCTGGGTCACGTATGTGGAAGCGTCAATCGTCTGTCCCTTCTCCAGCAGTTCTCAGTACTCCATGCCTCTTCTGGACCACCAACAGGACAGGAGAACCTTTTTGGGGTGAAGGTCAGCCTTTCGGGTGGCTTCTGGCTGTTCTCCTTTGTCGACCCACTGCCGCTTCCTCACAGGGTTATCGGAGGACCCACTTCTGATCATCGAGTTGAGAAAGTGAAGCCTCTTTTGGAAAGTGAGGAGAGAAGTGCAGGTGGTCACCCTCCACGAGAGGTCATAAGCGTACAGTTTATGTGGGACCCAGCGACCGAGCTTTGCTACCTTGCCTAGATTTTCTAGTCCACGTGCAACCGTCGAATGATCATAGCTGAGCATGGTCGCCATTCCCCTGGTGGTGAGGTACGGGTCCTCCTCCACGGTGGAACGTAGTACTTCCAAATCCAACTCCACCGGCCGACCAGACCTCGGAGCATCTTCGAGAGAAAAGTCTCCTTTCTTAAATTTGGCGAACCAATTCTCGCCATGTAAGAGATGACGTCCTCACCGTATGTATCCACCTGCTTGGTATGGGCTTCCTTTGCATTCCAGCCGAAATCGTGGAGCAGAACCAAACAGTGGCGCAGGTAGGTTTTGTCACAGTGCAAGTTGTGCGACATTGTGTACTGCAAATGCAAGCTCGGTGATTGATAGCTAGTGTAATGAAAGACGTATAAGTACGTCACCGCACAGACGTGATTGACGTAATACCAACACTCGTGCGAACGGAGAATAGGAGAGATCAAACACGTGTAATAAGACAGTTATGCGACACCTAATACATAATGTATACATGTGTAAACATCTGTTTTAGACCATATGTAAACGTGTGTTTACATGTTCACTCATTGCAAACTACTGTATAACATGTTTTACATGTTTTACATCTGTAACGCTATGTTCTCATGTTTACATACAGGGCACAGCAATTGGTTGGTGGAAGGACCCCATGGGGGGGGTCGTATTGGCCGCCAGGAGAGGGGTGGGGTCGTAAATGAGTGCGAGACCCAGTATCGAGGCAGCGCAAGGTTCCAATGTTGAGATCGGTACAGCGAGCTTACTTTGTAGAGAAACTCGGAATATTTGAAAAAACAACGGACAAATTTTTCAGCCAATTAAAATGCGAAATAACTGGAATTTAAGATGAGTCGGCATCATCTCCGTAAGTCCGCTTTGATGACTAAACATGTAAACGCCATACTGCTGATCATTGCTTGGAGGCCGATGATGGGGCGTGTCCGCGATTTTCCGGGCGCTTGGGGCTGACGCGCCAGCCTATTTTTTCGACAAGCGACGACCGACTACCAATCGTTCGTATCAGCCGTTTTCCCAGCAGTTGTGTCATCGCTTTATCCGGAGACGAGCAATTGACGGAGCACAGATCCGGGCGCGTCGACAGACAACGTTCCATCATCCATCAAGGGAAAACACATGTAAACAATGCTACAGGTTATCGTACATAGACCTCCCTGAATACTATAGACAGTACATTTTGCTCGCGTGAAGCAGAGCAGTACCCAAGTTGCACCATCGCCATCACTTCTTCGCGGCCCTCAGTGCGCGGCGCATACAAAGTTCAGCGTGATCGCGGCTAAACGGAACATATCCTGCTCCTGCTCCACCACAGGATACGTTCTACATGCGTTTCCTGGCTATTCCGAACACGCTCAAGCTAAACGGTGCCAGGAAAACGGCGTTTTTCGCAGCGGCTGGGAGTGCTCTAAGAAAATCCCCATCGCGAGATCTCATGAATCCGAGAGCTTCAGGAACAGTTCATATAGGTTTTATAGAAAGGAGAAAATCTTGAGAAGCATCGGATCCGTTCTCAGCATTGTGTTGAAATGTTGAGTTTAAGCAAAAAAAATATATGATGATTCAAACCGTGTTCAACTTGAACTTCAACCCTTCACTCCGCATAACGAATCCCCATGGCAGCTTTCTCTGTGATTTTTCGCGACGCTTCATGATACATTTTAGTAACTTTAGGAAGATAACCTTCTTAATTTACATACGCTCTCTCTTCCCCACAAGGTCCGCTTTGAGGAGTTTAATGGTCGCTTCAAAACACGCCTACTTTGCTGAAAATTCTGCCGCGCCATGGCTTAATAGCCGTTATTGCTCCAGTTCAAAGCTGCAATTACACCGCGCTTCTGCTACCGTACCCCACATCTCGGGGTTAATGCATTTTTAAGCGGCGATAGAAGCCGTTTAGGCGTTTTCGTTCATTTCTATTCATCCTGTTTCGATGTATTCGTGCCATTGTCGCGCTTTTTTATATTTTTATTTATTTTGTTGACCGATTCTGTTCTGCTGACGCCGCCGAAACGCAAGCGATTCGGCGAAAAAGTTTTTGATGCGTATATCGATACGCATCTATTGCTTTTCCCGGCCGCGCGAAACGCAGCGGTTCTGGTGAATTTTTGTGAATGCGTATTCGATACGCATCAACAAAAAACCAACAACGGCAAAAAGGGGGGGGTCGTACGCGACCCCCAAAAGGGGGGGTCGTTACGAGCTCAACAACCAAAATCCCCATCGTAATGCTGTAGCCCCTATGTTTGTTTAGCATATGTTAGCAGACATGTAACAGATATGGTTACATTGTTTACAACATGTGTAGCGTAAGAGCGAGAGAGCTCCATTTGGGGTATAAGAACGGCTACTCTGAATGGAGCTCCCCGATTTTACCTTCCTTACCCTCAAATCATAAAAGAATATAAGAAAACAAATCCGCACTAATTTGTTTTCAAGTTCTTTAAGACACTATTTAGTTTTTGAAGGCAGCTGCAAGTTAAAAGAAAAACCATTACGCTTAAATCGCGGTTCTCCTAGCTGTCCGCAAGTAATCATACGATATCCATTACGCTCACCGCCGGCACTGCATTGCATTCTCAGCTCAAAGGCATTTCATTCTTGGATTATTTATTTGAGTTAACTCTATTTTCGCAGAAGCAAGTAGCCCGAAGTAATGTGCCACACTCGACTCTAACCTCGAATCGTAAATGTATTTGAAAGGTGCCATCTCTACAAGAAGTTCTAGTCGTGAGATACGCATTCAGTTTCGAACATTAGTGGAGTGCACTACTTATGATTTTCGACGAAATGTATAGGCGTTCACCTATCTGGTTTCACTGTGGTTTGCACTGGACATTTCACTCGAAATGTGAATAATAGTTGCCTTGAATGACATTAAAGCAACCTGCATTTCACAAGAATGCTGAGAACTGGGAAAAGTGGAACCCGGGACGGGACTCAATCCCGCATCTCTTGTTACGCAAGCGATTGCTATCCATTACGCTACCGGCGCCACCCTTACATTCTCAGCACAGCGGCATTTCATCCTTGGAATTTATTCGAGTTAACTCAGTTATTTTCGTAGAAGCAGGCAGCCTGAAAAATTATTTACATTAAGAACACACTCGGAGGAAGAAGTGGTGTAGTGGCAAGTGACCCGTTAATCACGGTCGCGGTCCATAGGTCACATCTCGGATCGGTTCCTGTCAAGGCTGGGAACTTCCCACCCTCGGTGTACTTTTTCGTGACGATTCTGAATGTAAGAAGAATACGCGCCGCATGACAAGAAGGGACTGATCGGTGACGAAAGTCCTTTTTCAATACTTCGTTGCGAATATACCATTTTCACTTTAAATCGGACACTTTTCAAACCAAATTGGACACTTTTCAAATCAAATCGGACACTTTTCAAATCAAATCGGACACTTTTCAAACCAAATCGGACATTTTTCAAATCAAATCGGACACTTTTCAAATCAAATCGGACGCTTCAAACCAAATCGGACACTTTTCAACTCAAATCGGACACTTTTCTAACCAAATCGGACACTTTGCAAATCAAATCGGACAAACCCTTACAATTAGGTGGTTGATAACTAGACCGCACTAGGTACTGTTGCAAGCCTCGCCCCATTATCCCCGCCCACTTCTCAGCCCGGACAGGGTTTTCCGAGATGCTTCATGAAACCTGCTCCCTCGACTTTTTTCGTTTTTGCCCTTTGCACACACAGTTCAACGGAAAAAGACTGATACCAGTATAGATCTGACTCCGCCCACTTAACAATGAAGTTCGAAGTTTTTATTACACTTTTTTCGACGTAATAGTTCTTTCCAATCCAATTCTTCACAACAACAATTAACCATAACACAGCACACCATGCCCCCGCCCCCTCTGACTCCGCCCACTTGTGGTCACGCGGAATTTGGTGTTTCTTATCCGGATTTTCGCTTTTGAGCTTTTAAGCGATTGACTCACCCACCAGATGGAATCTCCGCCCTTTTGGGAGCCGCCCACTTTTCGAAAATGATCAAATCGGCGGGCTAGGTGTTCCGTACTGCGCGGATACAGGCCTCTCCCTGGCCAGATAGAATTAAAAAAAAGGGGAAAACCGGGAAAAAAGGGAAACTTTGTTCTCGAGCGATACGGAGAGCCTTTAATCGCGTCAGTACGGACACTAGCCCGCGATCTGCATCTATTTCGAAAAGGTGCGGCGGGCCTTCCCCAAGTGGGCAGAGCTTCCATTGGTCGGCGGCAGTCAAACCCGGCTTGAAAGCCTTCAAAAAATCCGGTATAAAAACAAAAATTCCGTCGATAACCACAAAGTGTGCGGAGTCAGAGGGCGGGGCATGGTGTTGCTGTGCATGGTTATTCGTTTTGTGAGGATGGGATGTGAAAAGAACTACGTCGAAAAAGTTATAAAAATTCAGAACACTACGTAACTCATTGTTAGTGGGCGGGAGCCTCAGAATCGATATAACTGGTATCAGTCTTTCTTCCGTTGAACTGTGTGTGCAAAGGGCCAAAAACCGAAAAGTCGGGGAGCAGATTTCATGAAGCATCTCGGAAAACCCTGTCCGCGCTGAGAAGTGGGCCGGGGGGTAATGGGGGGGGCTTGCAACAGTACCTAGTGTGGTCTAGTATCAACACCTAATCTGTAAGGAGGTGTGTCCTTATTTGATTTGAAAAGTGTCCATTTGATTTGAAAAGTGGTCCGATTTGGTTTGAGAAGTGTCCGATTGGTTTGAAAAGTGTCCCGATTTGATTTGAAAGTGTCCGATTTGATTTGCAAAAGTGTCAATTTGGTTTGAAAAGGACACTGTCCGATTTGTGTTTTTGAAAAGTGTATTTAAAGTGAAAATGGGTATACATCCCTACCACCGGTATTTGTATTTCTTAGAAAAAGCAAAGCGTGGGTGTCGCTGGAAGTGATCTCTTTGCGCATACCTACAGAGCTTGTTGATGAAATAAAAGCCCTGCCGCTGTAATCTGCTGTTTCCCACATTTCTTTTTACACACCATTCGCCATTTAAAATTTCACTAAGTTTGAATGAAACTGAAACTATGTGCATGTTCTACAAGAATTCGCCAAGCCTCATGCACTTTCAAAATCAATAATCAATATAAATCAACACAACCCATCCGAAAAGCTACTTGAGCACTTTTCGCATAGAAGTAGCGACTGCGCGGCGCATTCAAACGAAAAAGCCACTGATTCATATCGGAAATTCATACAGATCCAACGAAAAATATTATAAGAATCCAAGTGTTAGCATCAGTATTCTTTCTTCCGGCTGGATGCGAAAGAATACGGGCAGCCAACCTCCTCGTAGTCCTTCTCGAGTGCAGCCATATCTTCTCTAGCCTTCTGAGAACTCGCCTTCTTCCAATTCCTTCACCAACCACTACCTGCTACAGTTTAGGGTACTATAAGTCAGCAAAGTCCAGTACGAGTCAATAGTTGCCTAGTTGATGACTGAGTTCTAGAATTATAGCGTGAGTATCCAACCAATACCGGCATTTACATTTTTATAGCTTGTCATAGATTTTGCAAAGTTTCACTTATGTTATTAGCTCGCCTATAAGTCCAACCAAGTTTATTGTAAATGCAAAAAGACATATCTATGTTTTGTCCTTCTTGAGCCATAAGGACATTTTCTACACAAGCGAGGTGTCTGTCATATTTTAGCCATACCGCGGGCCATACGGCGACTCCTGGGCGAAAAGTCTGCCGCGAATCCCATCAAAAACACCGAAAAAACAAATTGCCCCTGGCTGGCCAAACTGGAGGGTTGCCCCACAGTTTAGTGTACCGTTTTTATCGGGTTCGGGAAGTGCTACATTAAATTGGTACTTTCTTACCAGTGCTTACAAAAGCTCGCTTGGCGTACATCAATCGAATTGTGTATCGGAGACGAAGCCATGCTTTCCTGTAAAATCGAACGTTAATGGATACGTTACTGAATTAAACAATGCCAGGTGTTGCTTATTGTTATGCGCTTACCAATGAGACTACTGAATACATTGTTATTTTAAACGACTCCTTCTTGAGATGTTCCTGACAAAGCCACCAAATAAACGGCTCGCCTCAGACAATGGTCATTATCCTGCTGAGCAGCTAGATGTTTGCTACGCGTTACAAGCAAGCCGTAAAAATATAGGCTAGAAACTCTCTTCCCGCTCCCATCTGTCTTTTACTCCGAACAGTGTAGCGGTGCTTTTTTATGCAGTTTCTGAGCTCATATTTACCCGAAATGTGACGTAGCCCCCCCCAACCCCGATGTCACTACAACTCTTAACTTATACGCACTTCACATCTAAAACGAATCAATCTCATTGCTGCCTACCTGGGGATAGCTGTTGTATTTGGAAAGCAGCAGACAGCACGCTTGCAAGCTTAGCAAGATCACCATTCGGTAACAACCTGTCGGTGTTGGTAGTTAGATTACCTACCTTTGAAACCTGGTGGACAGCCTTAAAAAAGAGAATGGGCTGCTCTGACATTAATTCCGCAGATTTACGTACAGTCCACGAACTGAATGCCGTTTTCGCTGCTTGATTACGGCGATTTGCCGAGTTGATGTCCTGAAAAAGCGAGAAGATAGAAAAAATTGTATAGGCCTGGCGCACATATCAGATTATAGTCCGTATCTGAGGGCACGGAAATGCATCGCCCGCAAAATTCTGCGAGAGTTTTAGACGAGGGTGGGGCAGAGGACGTTTACATATTGGTAAGTAAAAAGGGTATTGAGCAGGCACCCACGCCCCTGCCCACCCTTCAGTATGACACACATAGCGCCCCGTGGTCGCTGCCTATATCCTTGTCTTCCCAATCTGTGTCGATCTCAAAATGTGTTTCTGTAAGGCTGACTGTTCAAGTTTACGCTTTTGTCAGTATGACTTCGACAAATAGCTATTGAGCCTGAGTGGTCAAAAGTGCCTCGGTAGCGTAATAGGGAACGCAACTGCCCGGTAAGCAGAAGATACGAGGTTCGTAATCCGTCCGTGTCGTCCGACTTTTGTCCACAACTTCAGATTCTTGTGATGGCTTTCGTACTCGCGTACTGCTGGCCGCTCAAACCAGCACTATCAAACCTTAAAGTAGTGACTTCGTTCCACAAGTCCTTTATGACTAAAGGCGCAGTTCAGACACGCGGCCATTATTAGTATGCACTCCAGCATTGATTACTTCTTGTCACAAACTACTATAGATCCCCCTGATCTCGCTGGGATATCCTTCTCGCTGCCAAAAACTAGTTTATCATGCGACCTCGATTCCTGTTTCGTTTGCTATGTTAGACACAAGAGATCGTCTGACCTACCATACTTTCAACTGACCTTAGGCACAACATCTCCTCTGAAAAGCAAGCAGCATGCCATATATTTTCCATTACGAGGGTCGCACTTCACCATTTGACAACCAGGCTCAAAGCAAGCATTGGTGATTTCGGAAACGGTCATTTGTTCGTGGTAAGCTCTTTCGCTGAAATCATAAGTTGTGGTACGTCTTGACGATACCCTTCCTCATGTGTCTCTTCGTTGCTGAGTGAAATCGTTGAAAATACAGTTTTCCCCAGCCATATACTGCCGCACACATGGCATAAAAGCTGGAGATAATGCGCTCCCTTCTCACTTTTGGTTATTCTTTACCGCTACGCGCGTCCCAGTATCGCGGTGAGTTCTACACATAATGCATAGCGCGGACGAGGTATATAAAGACGCAATCCGGCTGTAACTACCCTCCAGCCCCGTCCCTACACGCTTTTAGCGGAGAAACTGGACCACTACTGCAATGGGAGGGTCGCCGTTGGTACTGAGTGGACGATTTTTCTTCAAGCTGAGAGGGTGCAGGACGGCATTGATTGTATAGTCGTTATGTAGTCTAGTAAGCTTGAGGTGCAGGGTCGAAATCTGAGTGGATTTTTCAGTTGCGGAATTCATTTCTTTGTAATGGACAAGATCTTCGACCAGCGAAAGAGAATTTGCGATACGACCCTGAATAAGTGTCCGGCTGATGGACAGCTCCTCATCACATCCACAACCTTCTCATGTGCCATAATCGTTACAAGGGGGCCGACACGTGTCTCCAGGGATTCAGACAGTATTAGACCTCTCTGTGAAATCCAACACACCAGGTTGGGCAGCTTCTGTATTCCATTTGAGTAGAAGTCAGCTCGCAGGCTCACACCCGCGCGCCCCTTCTGCAATGTGGTCCAGTTTCATCGCGCATATCTTTTTTTTCTTTGCATTGAAACACTCTGATACATTTTAGCTTTTCTATAACACATACTTATGGCCAACACAGTTTCAACCAACAGTATCATTCCTGTTACTTTTAACACTAGTACCCTCATGTAAAATATCACAAAACTCACGCAGATATAATGGGAGCGTATGTAACGAGGGGGAAATGTATTCTCGGATACGGAACGAGATTTGTCTAAAATCCTTCAATTATCTAACTAAATTGAATGTATCTCACAATAAAGCGAAAAGAAGACAGTAGAATAGACCGAAGGCACCTGGAATTCAGTGAGATCAACATTGAGTGCGCCATCGAATCGAAGGGAAGCTGTGATCGAAGAGACCACCTGAGCAATAAGACGATTGAGATTGGTATACGTTGGGCTGAAACAACAACACAACTATTAGTAATGAATCAGTTATTGAGCCATGAAGTATTTCAAAGTAGTGTAGATTTGTTTGAAAACGCGGCTTCAAAAAAAGCGAAACGAGTACTATCTCTCAATAATAAACTGCGAAATGTAGGTCAAGTGCATGGTGAATTTTGCACTGGGGGTCAGGGTACAGCGTCGTTGTGCGAAACTCATCGTACCTGGCCATAAGGAAGAGAGGAGGGGAGGGGGTGGTGCGCAGGATTGGTGAGCACCAAACACTGCAAAAGTGTCATGCTAAATATTTGTGTAGCGGAAACAGTTCTGTATAGGACCCGGGTGTGTCGAAGGCTAGAAAACCAACTAACTGACTAACGATAGTAATAGGTCGCATGTATTTGTAAGTACATGGATGACTAAATAATGGATCCCAACAGGTTCACGCGTGTCGATCTCTCCGAACCCAAGCAATCCCCTGCTTGCATAGCCAAAACTACTCCAAATTTTGAGTCACTTCTTTCCACCACCTCTGTGGGGGCGTATTGCACGACGCACTTTCGGTCCATGACAACCAAATTATGCTTTCACTCACTTCACTGAGAATATGTGTTTTAAAGACATATCAGAGTTTCTTAAGGAATATCCTTACAATGGCGCAGAAGGAGTCGAACTTATGAGTGACAAAGAATGCTGCCCACCAAAACTGTAGGGCTGATTGGAAGGAGGAAGTATAGGGTTCTCTTGCTTAGCAAAAATTGCACATGGAAGAAATTATTATCGTCCGAAGCAGAAAAATTCGCTTGTGATTTGCCATTGACCCATCTGGAACCCATCCGAAATATGTCTCAGACTGACAAAGAAGAAGTTTCAGATCACAGGGGGCATTGCTTTAACATGCCGCCTTCCGTTTCTCAAAAGCCTCGCACCTAAGAAATTATCACTCTAAGGATAAACCCTGCAGTTTCCAGGCAAGCGTGTTGAATCGCTATTCTGCACTGGGGTCTCATAGCGGCCACAGTCGCTTACAAATCGTTACGCATCCAACCCTTCTCGTCCGAGTATACAGTTAGAGCCGGAATGGGCGGGAGGGGCGGGGGAGGGGTGAGGGAGGTCGCACTGACACCACCATTTCACACATCACGATGTTGCACCCTGCCCGAGCGTGCCTTTGAGTCAATTCCGATTGAGGAACTTCAGTACAAATCAATTTCCAGGAACCTTACGTTAGACGCTACGTTAGATGTTGAACAAAACTGGTCGCTCACCTCCTTATGTTCAAATTCGTCTTCGAGATCTCGTAGATGGCCTCGTTATCCAGCATAAAGGAGCAATCAGAATGCTCGATAGTGGTGTGAGTAGTGAGCAAAGAATTGTACGGTTCCACCATTGCTGCAATACTGTCTCCATTTTGGAACTCAAAACTTAACGCACTACCTGGAGATTCGGTCAGACCGTCCAAGTATCTGTTCCGTCTCGTTCGCTAATGATTAGATTTGTTAAGGAGATAGGTTTGGTGCAGCGCCACCTGTTTTTTTTCGGCAGTATCATATTGTAGAATTAGTCGTTTTCCACCAACTGCTGTTGCTCAGCAGCTATCAAGCAACTTGTGGAGAACTAGCCGGCTGGCTGCTCGCGAAATCCAGCCTCACTGACATGCCAGCCCCACCGTTCGCAACGAGCGGCTCTACCATTGTGACAGCGAGAAAAGCGATAAAGGTTCAATGCAACAAGGAGGAAGAGATACTTCGAATCGCTCACCAACAGATCCCATCTCGTTATACGGACCTTAAAGAGAATAAGGCTTTCCACACATACTGATTGAGTACCAGTCACTTAGTTCAAATGTGCAAAGGGATCAACAGTGACTGCGCAGAGGTTGAAACACTTAAGCTCAAATCTCCTTCTACTGCTCCTCTTCAGCTTGAGCGAGTTTATGAAAGAAGCCATAAGAAATCTTCACTCTCGTGGACCACTGCTCATTACTCTCCATTTACCACAAAGTTAGGGACATAGGCATTTCATGATCCTTGGATGTTTATTGATAATGCTATAATATATTGAAGATGCACGTCCTGCTCTGAAATAACAACGAAAATCGAAATTTTGTACTGGTGCTTGTTTTTCGATGTTGTTCACTTTTCAGACGGTGAAAAACGGGATTTCAATAGCAGCGCGCTTGCGATTTGCTGGCATAGAATGAATAACTTGAAACAATCTTTACGGGGAGTAGTGAGAGGAAAAACTCTGGACGAAAGGGAATCACGCTTCCTGTCGAATGCGTTCACAAACGGCGATAAGACATTTTCTCATCACTCAATACGATTCGAGAAGCTTCTTTGGCACTCAGCCCTTTATTTACCTGTTCTTTTTTCACTGAAGAAAGAAGTAAATGTCCCTGTGATCACAATAGCATATGGGAGAAATACGACTACTGGATCAGGAAGATTTGAGGTTTCAATGGGGAATATAATTGCTTTAGCCTTCTATTTGCTCTCAGCTCCCATCGACTAGGTTCTCATAGTTCGTGCAATGTTCTAGGGGAAATCTTGCATCTTTTACCGAAGTACGTTCCAGGCCTATTAGCAAATGTCGCTTCCCAAGCGTTTCAGCGCAATAATGGGATTTTAGTGGATACACAGGTTTTCCTTTTGCGACGCTCCCTGCGATGCAGTATTTTCCTCCAATCGTGTTACAAATCACATGAAACTGTGAAATAGCCTCTATCCCTCAACCTATAATGTGCAGCTCCCCTATATGTATTTCACATATGCGAAACAATTGAGCTTACATGTGCTGATTGTAGGAGCAGGATAGATGCTGAACTCGAGCTTCGCCTTCTTTCCAAAATCGACCGAAAGACGCTCCATCATCAATGCCGCAAAGCCGCTGCCTGTTCCACCTCCGAGCGAGTGAAAGATGAGGAAACCTTGTAGAGATGCGCAGCGCTCGGTGAGTCCTGGAAAACAGAGGCGTTTCATTAAATTTTTCAACGGGCCTCCCGATCAGGGCACGTCTTACGCTGAGGACCCCCAGCGAGGAGATAGTGTTCCTTTATTTGGGAGCTGGAGGAGAGGGGTCATTCTAGCTCTTTATAAAAGTGATTTTGGTTGTCGGTTGTTGACTTTTTCGGTACCCATTCTGTACCCCCTTTGACGGTAGTTTCTTGGAGGATGTTCAAGGTCCGGGATTATGGGAGTATTTCTACAGAAAAGAGGTGGGAACTTTCTGAAATTCAGGAAGACGGTAGGTAGCATGACGGATGGGAAGGGGAAGTCGCATTGGAGGGGAAACTTTTGAGGGGGAGTCGTAGGTAAGCTTCCCCAACGTCGTATTGCTTTGAAATTTGTTTAGGCGGCACTATCATCCACACCCATTTCAGTAAGATCAATATCTCGGCGTGCGGCGGCGTTTGTATTATCGTTTCGGGTCTACTTTATTATTTGCCTATCGAAGGTTGGTTTCAACGGATTATATTCATTCTACTAATTTTACGACGTCGCTCAGGGTGGCAACTAAGCAATTACAAGGAATTTGCCACTTAACCAGGTATACCGTCTTATTCCACTTTTTCGTTTTCGAAGTTTTGCCACAGTGAGGCCATGGCGTTAGTCAATTTCGATTCGTTGTAGTACGGGCATATCTATCCTCGTCTCTTGCTTATCAACGCATAGCTTAGGGTGGCAACTGGGCTGATTCGTTTATACTTTGCCACCTATCCAGGTACACTCCTCCTCACATTTTTGTTGCATATTATATATTTTTGACTGGTTTCTCTGCATTATCATATTATATATTTTTGACTGGTTTCTCTTTACTATTTTCTTACTCTGCGATCTCGTAATGGACGTCAATAATGCGTAATGGATGCGATTCTCAAGCTGGGTAGTCAAAGATAGCAGATATATCTAAATCTAGACGTGTTTATAACCTACTGATGGCTATGATAGCTGAGATAATGGCTCTTAGGTCCGAGAATGGTAATCTTAAGTTGGAGATTGATAAGCTCGCTAAGTTCTCATCATATGCCTTCTCATGTTGATTCTCATACTGCTTCTCCTGCAAATCACAAGGTTGCAAGTGACACGGGGTCATATCAAAGGTTGAAATATTGAGATCGATTGTTATGAGTGGTATTCCTGAGTCTCCTGCAACTTATGTAAGAGATCACGTATTGTATGATTTTCAATCCGTGTGTAATGGCATTGACCTTCTTGTGTGAAATGAAACCCGATTACACTGTACAAGATAGGTCAACCGACGACGAGCTCATCAAAGTAGTACTCCCTCCCAGTTTTTTCAATCAAGTTTTCTCAACAAATAAATCTTATCTTAATCGGTCTTAAGACAAACCTCCGCCTTCTGTTTTCCCTTGAGCGAAGGATTTTTATAGGGGAATACCTCACTAGGGAGCTCAATAGGAGGAAAGAGAACGTAGGCGTATGGAACGGAGGCATTGCCCAGTGGGTGCGTCTTGCTCCACCCCGATGGGGAGTGCGAGTGCCTCGGTCCCAGGGAGCTCTTCCATTACACCTACGCACGTGATAAGCGACGTGAGTGCCGGTCCGGAAACTGATGTTTCCTCTCTGGTCTCGAAGGAGTACTCTCACAATGTTCTATGCAAATGTTCAGTCAACCTCGAGAAAAACAGATTCCATAAATTCAGATTTAGCCTACAAGTACGATATTTTTGCTTTTGTTGAAACATGGCTGAAATTTAATCTCAGCTTGTAGTCTGTTTTGGGTAGCTCTTGGTCTGATTATGACATACTTAGATGCGATAGGCAAAAAGAACCGGTGGTAGAGTCATTGTTCTTGTGCATTCGAGGCTCTCCATTGCTTTAGTTTTTAAGGAATCGGTCCACGATGCTTACGAGATACTTTGTACCGACGCATTTCACTAGGGGCACTGTTTCCGTATGATGACCGTGTAGCTCCACCTTGTGCTGCGACTAACAAAGGGATGGTTTCAACTTGAAACGGAACTTTGAATGGAGACCTAGGTACATCGATGGAGGCTCGAATGCTGATTACGAATATGTAGATTAAAAGTGCTACGGGACCTCCCAGACGAGATCTGGGTGGTCAGAGCTTGCCAAAACTCTTTTTTGGTTCGTAAGCACTGCTGATCGATAGTTCGCCAGTGCCACCGTGGCCTAGGAATCGTTCTCGCTTCAAATCCAAGTTTTAGTGGATTTGCATTCCCGTTGGCGGGAAAATACGCTTCGTCTCATATAAGAGCTTTCACTCTAATTTTCAAATCTTCCGAGTTCATGGTCTAGCAGAGCAAGCAGATCAAGTAGATCAAGTACATGACGTAGTCGATCTAGTATTTACCTGGTCACTGTCTGTTCTCTCTGAACTTATTACCCATTCGCCAATTCAAAGTTTGGGCGAGAAACTCGTTCCTGGGGTATTTGGACTCATGAACACGAATAACACATCCGTTTGACGAACAAACGCTCGTAACTTTCACGTTCGTGGTCGCTGTGGTAATCAACTGATCTGGCCAAATTGTGATTCCAAAACTTCGAATTGTCCGATGGGTGATAAGTTCAGTGAGGACAGATAGTGACCAAATCTTAACGAATACGTCATGTAGTTAATCTACTCGATCTCTTGCTATGCTGGACCGTAAACTCGGAAGAATTACGAAAATTAGAGTAAAAGTCCTAATGGAGACGAAGCAAAAGTTTTTGCGCCATCAGAATGCAAACCCACGAGCATTTGGTTTTGAAGCGAGACCATTACCACTAGGCCACAGTGGCACTGCCAGCGAGCAATCAACAGCACTTACGAGCCAAAACTGAGTTTTCGCAAACTTCGACCGCCCAGATCTCGTCTGGGAGATCCTCATAGCACTTTTAATCTGTATACGTAACCAGCATTCGAGGCTCTATCGAGGTACCTAGGTCTCCATTCAAGGTTCCATGGGAACTCCAAACCATTCCCTTGTAAGGTTGAGCAGCTTGTGAAGGCGCTCAGTGATCTTATTGCGTGTGAGCTCAGCCCGGTAGTTGCCTTTGATTTCAGTTTTCGCGTTCTGAGCAAATTCACCCTCACTAGTTCCAAGAGTGAAGCGCTGTAATAGCACTACCTCAAACTGTTTCCAAGAATTTCTTCTTGCTCACAAGTCGACTCAGCATGTAGTTGAGCCAAGCGGCTCAACAATGTTCTGAATTTGGTACTCACTTCTAGCGAGGGCCTGGGAATCTCAGAGTCCTAACGCCTGTTGGACAGAGTGACCACTGCAGCATTTCTTGTGAGATTACATGTGCTGATTCACTGGCGGTACCGGTGTATTGTCGAGTTTTTTCGGCATGTAATTTCACTTAGTTTTTCAAGGACCTGGCTCAGTTGCGATGGGTTGCTCTGCTGGAAACGCGAGACAGTGTCAATGAGAAATACGAGTTATTTCTATCCATTCTCTATAGCGCAATAGGTCGGTAATGTCCCCCGGAGACTCGTATCATCTTTCAAGTCCATTTGGGTACCGCGGCATCTACAGAACATGATGGAGCATAGAGAATGTTCGTTTCTTGAGGCTAGACGCTCTGGCGATTGGTCCCAAATGTGAAGATTCACGGGGACGTTCTTGGTTCATCTAAAAGATGGAACAGCGACCTCGAAAAGAGGATCGTCGAGTCTCATAAGATAGCTTCTACAAATACTTGAATGCCAAAAATTCAAGATAGGAGATGCGTTGATTGTTTGAAATACGGTAACTCAGTCGCCTTCACAGAGCTCGATAAAACAAATATGTAAGTCAAACATTTCAGGAAAACTTTCATAAAGGATGATGACACAGTTCCTTCATTACCCTATTCTGCTGTGCAGCTCATTCACTCGATAGAAGCCGTTTTGTGGTTCTTATCAGAAGAGCTCTAGGAACAAATGCAAGCGGCTCAATTCTTCTTCTCTCACCCCCCCCCCATCTTATCCACTCTTCTTCATTGAGAAAGTAGCTTGTTTATCAGTGGACCTCTCGCATACATTTTTATCCGATCACTTATGAGCGAGGAAGTCAATAGTAGGTGGAGGCACTCCTTCTTAACTCCTATTCTGAAGAAGGAACCATCATCAGATCCTGTATATTATCGACCTGTGAGCATTACCTCTATTCTGTGGACTGTTTGAAAAGCGTTTAAGGAGCATGTCAATAAATATACTCTTGGGCAAAACTTAGTAACCAACAATCAGCATGGCTTCACCCGGGCCGTTCCGTTGAAACCAGCATGATTGAACGCCTTGATGAGCGGACTAAGACCCTTATAGTAATGGGTGTTGTGATGTTATCTATTTCGATGCCAAGGCTTTTAACAGGGCGTAGGCAAAGCTAATCCATAAGTTGGGAGAATTGAAATTTCATCCTATCCTTACTAACTGGATTACCGATTTCCTCACAGGTAGGTCTTTCTAAGAAAGGGTTGGGAAGTGCTATTCCGTCAGTAAAGAAGCTTACAGTGGCGTCCTCCAAGGTTTAGTTCTGTCACCGGTAGTGTGAAACATCTTCATTGCAGAGACTCCCAGCTTATTTCAGGGACTTGGTGTTCCGACCAAGATGTATGTAGATGATGTAAAAGTTCACAAGAGGACATTGGGACAGTCAGACTGTGAAGAGCTTCAAAGAGTTATTAACCGGCTCAGTAACTGGGCAAAAACATGGCAGCTCCCCTCGCCCCGCATAAAACGCTCAACTCTGTAGGGACCTCGGCTTTCGTTATTCCAACACTTTAGACTTTTCCGAACATATCAAAAAAACCGATGTAACTTGGCTTTTAGGGCGCTTCATATTTTCGAGGGTTTCTCCCTTACCAACAAATCGGTCCTGCCTAAGGCATACAAAACATACGTTCGCCCTTTAGTAGAGGCGGGAGCCACTGTGTTCTTTCCCACTATGAAACGGGATGTTTTAGCCTAGAAAAAGGTGCAAAATAACTGTACTCGCAAAATTCTTTTGCGAACCAGAAGTTTTTCATTTGAGGCTCACAAAGCTTCCATCACGAACAAATACTTCGAACTTTCCACCATCGAAACACGTCGGATGGATGCGGATGTGTGCATGCTTTGCAAACTCATGTACGTGTCTAAAGGTGAAATCCTCCCAATTCGTTCAAAATACAGCATTCACGGACCAGAGGTGGGCAAGCTAAAACTCTCTTAGCCTGTCCAGAGTTAAGCCCTTAGCTTCTCATTCAGATACGTGACATATAAGAAGCTCACAAAGAATTCAGCTGTTCCTAATACTGTACTATAGCTTAGGGAGATTGTAGCTACACGGCTACTTGGTCACGGTACTCCTTTGTTTGAGATTGACTTTAGAATTTCCTAATTTGAACAATAATTGGATATCTAGTCTCGGATCGTTGCCAGCTCGGATCGCATCATTCCACTTTGTGGAGTTTATATTTTCTTGATATACTGAGCAGACGTATTTTCCGAGTTGATGTGTCGTTTGTCTTCTTAATGTTTCCAATGGGTTTCCTTTTCGTCGTTCTTTGTTTGTTCTATTTTCTCACGTTTGCCTCACGCAGCGTAATAAACATAAACATCGCACTGGCTAGCAGCATGAAGCTATCTCCCAAGTAGGTCCTGACAGTTTCACGATATAAAACGAGATACGCGTTTACTGTGCGAAACCGAGGCGGCCTTTGAGGATAATTTGCAGCTCATACCCATGCGCAGCTTACACCCCAGAACAAAGAGCACGAATTCAAACAGCTGATCTGTACCCAAAAACTCTTCGGATTTTCAAATTGTGATTAAGGACGAGTTATTGATTGGAAGTATTCCCTGCTGGACTGGTGCCAATTTTTTGCAACTTTGAAATGCTGGAATGCTGAACTAACGTCGAATTCGATCCATGCATACGTCGATGAGCTCCTTGCCGATGGTATAATGACCACGTGCGTAGTTGTTGGCCGCATCCTCCTTGCCGGTTATTAGCTGTTCCGGATGGAACAGCTTCGCGTAGGTTCCCGTGCGCACCTCGTCGACTACGGTGGGCTCCAAGTCAACGAACACCGCACGTGGGACGTGCTTACCTATAAAGAAGAAGGACCATAGAAAGATTGAAAAACCATAGCTGTGCTATAAATTTGTCTGTGTTCGGAGCCACCTGACTACCTTGTAGCTGTTGCCAACACACACTGACTATCTTTTATTTGACAAACAGCGCAAGGGTTCTTTTACAAAGAAAAAAACTAAGTGATAAGAAGAAAACTGGAACAGAACGAGTGAGTGACGTACCAAGCTATACAAAAGGCTCCTTCAAGGCAGCACAGTCTACACTTATGAACAGGCTAGGTGATACGTATTTCAAAATCTGACGGAGGCGGCCGAGTGTTATACTTAATCCACTGAGTAGGGAAGCGAGGGGTGGAGGGAGGAGAGAGAGAGAGGAGAATTATCGTTAACAGGGCACATGAGTGAGGAATCCACATGGAGTGAGATTGCATTCAACTGATGAGTGGGGAGCGTCCTACATGCAGGGTCAGCCAGCAGCGATAAACGGAGGTTTCGTTACCTCCAAGTCGCGAGGAACGTAGCAAAAGAGGCGTTGCGGGTCGTGTGAGTGCAGCCTTCGCACCAGGACCCATTCCACCCAACGTGGCACCGTTGCGGCGTGTTGACTCTTTCTGCGTTTATGTCTCTCACGTCACCAACTATGTAGGAAAGCGTGCGTATGCGATTCGTGAAGTAACCCATGAAGTGGGGAGTACGCTGCGTTTTTCGCAACCTGATAGAACATTGTTCCTGGCATCAAATACAAGAGATTTCGCTGTTCAGCAAGTCGTAGACCACATGTTTTCTCTCGCTAGAGGCGGTAGAACATGGGCAATTGGAATCTGAATTTGGGTAGCGGAATCAAGCGGCTGCGGTAGCAGCGACTCTTCGAACCGCAAAATCTTGCTTGTGGAGATCAAGTATAATGCCCTCAGAAGGCTTAGCATGAAAAGTCCTGCACGAAGTCACAGTGCAGCCAAATAGTCGTTCTTCAATTTAAAGTGGAGGTTGAAAATGGCTCTCGAGTGCTGCGCAGTTTCACAACCCGGATGCTTTCTTCACTAAAATCACGGTCACGGAACACTATTAGTTCGGAGTAATCATTCCTGTGGTGACGAACCGGCGATTGAGCACGACCTAGCAGTCTGTAAGCTTGGTTTACTTTTTCTTGTTTTCCTTGACGTAGTAAGGCCTGAATGAAAGACTATGTATATGTTAAGAATATACGCCGGCGTTAATAGCCTGCCCGGTCGCAATTAAGTCCCATTCAAGCGTCCCACTCTCTTGCCGAGAATTATCAGAATCGTTTCTGGTTAAAAGTTCGGATATCAAACTTGCATTCCACCAAATGCTTTGGTGATGAATTCCCAGACGTCTGGGGAACCCTGGGTGGCCCCTTAAAGGCAAGTGGCACGGTTATTTCCCAAGACGTGTAGTTTATACAAGTATGGATAGAATTCGTCATCCCCGATCAGGCACTACGTGGCCCCTTTTTAAGGAAGGCACTCTTATAAGGACCCTGTCAAGCTACAACATCCTACCTCAGGGGACATCACTCCCGCCCGCCCACACCGTACCTGATGCTCGTATTGCTTTATTTGCTCAGTAAAATATGAAGCGAAGGGACTTGTATAAAGCGGCTGCAGTGCTACATGGTTACTATGTGAGTGCACACATGCAACCGTATTTAGCATAGCGGTCACTGGGACGATGCCTACGGGAATTTCGTCCGAAATTGCTTTCTGAGTCCTGTAGAACAAAGCTTCTTTTGCAGGTATGTGACTGCTTCACTTCGCCTTCTCGTCTTTTTCCCAGTATAGCACTCATGCTACATTTTTGATATAGTATCAAATCACCGTGCCTTGAGCCTCTAAATTGGTGTTATTGATACCGTGTATTTGGAGTGATGATGTCAGAAGTAGTTTCGCCGTCAAGCCATCTATGAAAGCTTGCGAAACAGAAAGTTACAAAAAAAAATAAGTCCAAATCGTCAATATGGTAACTACTTCTTCTTCTTCTTAGCGTTACTCCCGCGCCGGGTCCGCTAATCGTGTTAGACGTCGCCACTTGTTCCAATCCACCGCATTTTCTGCCGTGGCTTCCACTCGGTGAGGTCCTTTTTGATGACGTCCCTCCATCTTTTCTCTGGGGCCTCCTCGTGGTCGCTTGCGCTGCTTCAAATCCAATGCCTTCCTTATTGGGTGGTTCTCAGGCCTTCTCAGCACGTGCCCATACCATCGCAGTCGCTGCTCTCGTGCCTTCAGCTGAAACGGTCTGTGTGACCGCGCTGACGTCCTCGTTTCTGACTCTGTCGACGGCCGCAGGCCCATCCCAGCATCCTCATTTCAGCTGAGTTGGAGGTGCCTTTCACGGTTCTTGCAGATAGGCCAGCACTCCCTGCCGTAGAGCATTGTAAGCCTTACCACCGCCCGGTAAACTTTGCTCTTGAGCGTTCTCGAGTACCGCTGTCGCACAGGATGCCACTGGATCCCCTCCATTTCATCAAGGCTGCATTGATTCGGGCATTCACCGCCTGGTCCACGCTGATACCACCATATGGTAACGAAGAGTGAAACGTACACGTCAGTACAACGTACACGTCGCACCCTAACTCGGCTCAAAAAGCACCGAACTAAAGTTTTCAAGAAACTCCCTTTTTCGAGTACAGTGCAAATGTCTAAACAAACCGCTTTGTGTTTCCGAGAAGAACGTGTTGTACGAGGCGTCCTCGACGCCTTGGGTCTTATCTCCAGGCATGATTCCATCAGGCTGAAATGACAAATATTTAATACAATAATTACCACTTTTGAGAGATCATCTCCAACCTTTATGTATGGTCAATGTATTTCGACTCACCTGAATTCCATGCTCTAAGCAGTACAACTCCCAGCACGCATTGCCAATTTGAACGCCGGCCTGTCCAACATGAAGCGAGATGATCTCTCGCTGAAAATAAGGTGAGCTATAGCAGGTCCAGTGAGTTTTGTCGGTATGCATCAAGCAACACCCCAACAAGAAACAAAATCAGGTCCCCTACGGAAAGGAAGTAAGCTAAATAGTGACGAACAGACAATATACAGCTGCAGGAAAAAACTTGGAACAAGCCACAAATCGCATCTTAAACAGTTCTGAAGCTCTATTTAACAACTAAACAGGTGAAAGATATGCAGATAGCAGGAATTCAACAAGAAAAGAACTTTCAGCGCCCTGAATTCGGTTTGCTTACTACTGGACTCTATCAGAGTCTTCTTCACTCGTGGAGCCGACTTTACAGGGCTTAAAGCACATTCCGGATAAACTAAAGCTATGAGTTCCTAAATGTCTCGGGTGATCCGGTAGGCGATTCTGGATGCAATACTACACTGAAAATGTGAAAAGCAAGAATCCCACTAGAACCTGAGCATTTAGGCCCATGAGCACCCTTGTCGTGGTAAAGCACGACGTCCGATATTGCATACTCTGGATTAGCTTGTTAGTGTAATGTTGGTATACTGTATCGCAACACGTGTATAAGTACTGTCTGTTCGATTGCGAATAGTTCTGGATGGAAATAAAGGAGAACTTAACTACCGTGTCATCCCTTAGGCCCATGCCAACGCCCACTGGCTGCTAGTTATTAACCACTATGCTATCTCTCTCTTTTCCGAATGGTGAGGTAAGGTGGTAAGATAAAAGAGCTGATATCATAATGATGACAACGAAAAAAATTGGAAATTTTTACAGACACGCTTTCTCTTCACTGTATACACGTAAAAACTTTGATCGGCATGGAACCTTATACAGGACGTTTCGAACGTTTTTTTTTGTGTGTTTTCTTCTCCACTGCTCAGTTATCTAGCACTTCATCATTCGTACTTGAACTCCATTACCAGCCATTTGCGGTCACGGGCTTTGCCTTCTAGGGGTATCTGAGGATATTCAACACCGAATTAACTGAAACTGCTCACTCTTGTTGGTGATCTTCTTCCCCTTGACTCATGCTTCAAGTTATCTAAAAGTTGCCTGATGAGGTTGAGGTGAAGCCCTCACTCCATCATTTGTCACCCAGATACTGACCTTGGGTGCCGGAACCTAGAGTTCACGTACTGTTCTGTTTGTTTAGGATCACTTTTACTGATTGGGAAACAGTTCTTCCACGCATATGTACCTCATCCATGTCCACGATACCTCGGCACGCAAGCCAAGCAAAATCAATCAAATAATTTGGAAGAATATTCCGATTTTTTTGGCTCGCTCCATTCCAAATTTTTTTCCTCAGCTGTACAATTGGGTCTTTGGTCCGCGCGTAAGTGTAACCTGTCTACGGAACAAAACTGTGGAATCTGACTGAGATCCAATGATTCTTTGGTTGCTATCATGAAACCGCGAAAAATAAAATGTTCTAAAATGAAAAAGATGAATAGAAACAAATCAACTATTCGTAAAGGTTGCTTGCGCTAGCTTTTTAGAACATTCAGTATGCTATGGAAGCCTGCCATAGTCACTTCGAACGCCCTGCTATTTTCTTATAACCTGGCGCCTCTTTCACATGTTCATATTTGCGAAAATATTGAGTTTGCCTTTTCCAACAGTCCTTTCTACGAAGTGCCCTTTAAAGGTTATTTTCCCATGCCACTCCATATCTCTTTTTTCTCTTGCTGTCATCCATGAAGCTTACGTGGAGATGTCCAGCGATATTTCAGTGGCACACTACTCACCCATAAGCCCTAAAGGCAGTTGGTAAAATGCTAGTGGGGCGCTGTATAGTGGGGAAAATGGCAAAAGAACGAAGTGAAACGTCGAACTCCTGCAAAGAAAAAGCACTTGTAAATCGATTTCGGACAAGTTTCCTGTTGATACGGCTGCATATGTGTACCCATGTATGCATGCAGCCAGGGCACGCCATCTTGTGATCATCACAACGGGGGTCGTATTTGCCCGCGATGGGGGGGGGATCGTAAACGCATGGTCCATGTTGAAGTGGAGAGAGCGGTGAAACGCCAGCTCAAAAGGGACCGATGTAGATGACAATAAATAAACTAGGCACTATCGAACTATTCGAAGGCAGAAAGCAGAAGGAAGAAGATAAAGCTCTATAATTATGGGACTGCTAGAGGCATCGAGCCAACGGTGCAGTTGGTTGATAAGCTAACGGGAGTGAGTTCTGTAGGACCCCCTCGCTTGATGCGATGAGCAGACATTAGTTCTGTTGTGACCTAATAGCCGTGTATAGAGAGTCACCTCTCTATTCTTTACTTTAAATGTTTTACGATTACCAATAAATTTATATTGTAATCAATCGTGATTCACAATAGCAAACCGCTTCGCACTGCTTTATTACGCCAGGCGCGCAGTAGTGTGCGCCCAGGCCATCTTTGTGATCATCACAACGGGGGGTCGTATTTGCCCGCGATGGAGGGAGGAGGGGGGTCGTAAATGCATAGCCCATGTTGAAGTGAAGAGAGCGGTGATACACTGTACTAGTGAAAAGAAGCTCAAAAGGGACGATGTAGATGACAATAAATAAAACTAGGCACTATCGAACTATTCCTAGGCCAAGGACTAAAAAAAATATTGTTGAAACTTTTTCTCCTTCCTCACAAAAAAACTCCAAGACACTTCGCTCACCAACCCTCCCCATCTGGTGTAGATAAATCCCAATCCACTAAT